ATTTTAATTCATAATTATATTTCTATATTGCAAGAGACGTAGAATATTCATAAATTCATTTTCATTGATCTGATCAGCGGAGGAATTAACTATGATATTAGAATAGAATCATATTATGATTATTCTAGACGGAGGATTGGAAGAATTGAATTAATAGAAGAATATATGAGAGAAAAGAGATTGTCGTATTTCAAATTGAGATATAAGAATATGACGAAATTTCTTCTCATCGCATTATGTTTTGTTTATTAGAAAATAATAATTGAAAATATTTCTAGATCAAAGAGATCATTATCCAGAAAGATGAGAATATCAGATCTCATCATATATATATCACGATGCGGTATTTTAACGCCGTTCCATGCCGCCAAAATCGACGTTGCGCAATTCTCTTAAAATAAATATTTCATCCAATTATACGCAATAAGAACGATTCTTCCTCCTCATAGATTCCTATCACGCAGCCTGCTTACCTTCGTTTGGATTAAATAAATGGATCTTATATAAAAATATAAGGATCCGTAATTCAAAGATTTCAGAACGTCGATATCTTCCGAAGATAATTTCTGAAAGATTTCTTTTTCGATATCTGGGAAGAGAGATTAGACAATAATTCTTTTATTGAATCATTCTTTTTGATCAATATCGTTAGGAAGATAAGTTCATCGTATAATCATATCTCTATATTCCAGAAGATATAAAATATTCAGAATCTCATTTTCATTGCCTTAGCTATCGGAAGAATTATCTTATCGAAAAGAAATTTACGATATTATATTTATTTCAGATAGATGATTAGAAGAATTGAATTAATAGAAGATTCTATAAAAGAAAAAAGATAAATAATTTGAGATATGATAATCTAACGAAATATCGTCCGCCGCGATATGAATTTTCTGATCGATAATCCAATATATTATAGAATTGACGATAATATATTTAAAAAGATTCCTAGATCAAAGAGATCATTTTCGAGAAAAGAGGCATCATCAGATCATATCATAGATATTATATCGGGCCTGAATGCCGGTCCATGCCGTCAAATTTGACGTTGCGCCTTTCTAAGAATTCAGCCTATTCTCTCAAAATAATATTTGTAAGTTTCCCTAAATTATTGTTCCCA